AGATACTAAAAACAAAGAAAATCAAGTACTGAAATAATGATATTTATTATAAACATTACAAGCAATTAATAAACCTGAAAAAAAAGCTATCCAAAATATTAAGTACTTGAAAACAAAAAAAAACAGAAATATAAAACAATAAATTTGAAACAATAATTTAATTAAAGAACACAATATTTAAAAAAAAATTACGGAAACAAACAGGGTAAGTCATTTATAATAAAGACTCTAACCGATTTTCCGAAGCAACCTAAAATACATTCTCACAGATAAAATGGTCTTTGTTGCTTTTGATAAATTTAGATAATTAAATTTAATAAAATAAATAAATAAATAATAAATCAAAGTGGTTGTTGATATGTTATTTATTAAATTTGACAGTGTCATCAGTTCCACTTTTTTCTCTTGAATTTAAAATGTATTCCAATGACGAAAGAACTAACATGATCTTGATATATGGAGAATGCCAAAGAAATTCTGTGGTTAAATCTGTACCGTTAAAGGTACACCGTACGCCAATTAATAAAATTTTTCAAAAGTATCAAAGACATCCATCTATGTTTATAACTTAAAATTTTAAACAGTACATCAATTAACTCCTAGTGGTATCTGAGAATATACTTTGGGTTTCCTTGGGGTTTTCATTATATGTATGTAACTCAGCTTGTATCTATAAAAAGCATTTGTACTTAGAAACATGTAATAATTTTTTTCCAACACTAATAAGTATCTTATACCGTTTCTATGGTGCACTTAAGCGTACCTTTTATGTTGCACTTCTATAAAGTACATCGTCAATCACATCGTATTCTATAAGTACATAAAATACACTTATCTTGGCAAGTTTTTTGATAACAATTTCTAAATTTAGTTCAATATTAGTGTTGGAAAAAAATTTGAAGACAACACAAGTTTTATAGTTTAAAAACTCTTATTGTCTAAATATCAATAATCTGCTAAATTTTAATTTTTTAATGCGAATCTTAACATTTTTATTTTTAATTTTAATTGTCTTAGTTTTTATTATTTAAGATATTGTGTAGAAACGTATGAAAAAATTATGTGTTTTACTGAAGAGCAAAATAATATTATACGTATTACAATCACAATGTAGTTAGTTTGTTAATTTGGCTGTCAATTATAGTTTTTCTCTTGGAATTTAAACTGTTGTCTTATTTTTCACAAACTTGTTAACGTAAATTATATTTTTTGCACTTCTTACTTAAACTCAAATATTATAAAGGAGAAACCCAATCAATAGTTAATATAATAATGTAGTTATATGTATAGTCTGTTCCATTTAATAAACAATTGCCAGTGTCAAAATTAGAAAGAATTTTCGTTGTATGGCTTTAATTAACGAAATTTATGAACTAGGTGTATGGCTCATCCCAAATTCGGGTACGCAATGTAATCTAATTTCTTAATTTTACTTTTTAAAGCGATATAAACTATTTTTATACCCGATTTTGACACTGACAATTATTTATTAAAAAAACGGATATTAAGTACTTATACTTTTTTTCATGTTAATGTGCATCAAGTTGATTGTAGAAGTCTAAATGCATCTTTAACTTAAAGCCCAATTCACACAAAAAGTGTCATTAATGGCATTCAGAACAAATTTAATAATGACATGTTTGCTACCCTATGTTAATTATCTTGTTAATTTTAATAATTTTTTGCTACTCGGGGTACACATTTAAAAAAATAATAATTTGTAGAAAAGATTAAAGTTAGGATTGTTTGAATTTTTTGCATGGTTTAAAATGATCGTTTTCAACGACTACTCCGATGCACATGAATATGAAAACGAGTATACCTAATATTTAATACGAAAATTGAAAAAAGTGTTTTTTTAATCAAATAAGAGAAAATTTAGCAGAAGGCATCTGTTTTATATTTATATTCCAAGTGTTTCTTCTAACAATTGAGAAATTATAATTCTGGTCTCTCAAACCAACTGGGAAACTGAAAAAGGAAATCTTATTGGATTTCCTCAGTTATTGAAAAACATGTCTGCATTGCTTACTCAAAAATTCTTATAAGAAATATTGTGTACTCTGTGTGACAAACATTTAAGTAAACATACGTCTACTTTATCAAATACTCCATTTTATTCAATGCTTATTTCTACAATGAAAAAAAAAATGTAGTACTTAGTTATCAGCTGAAACTGCAGAAATAAAAAAATAAATAAAACTAAAACTAGAATTAAAATCGTGCCAACGGAGTGGCACTCCATCAAACGTAAACCTTCCGTGGGCGTTGTAATTTCAAGCAATTTTATCTTAACTCAAGTCTATTAAAGAAAGAGAAGTGCACAGAATTCATGACACGCTACCTATTCGTACAGTGTGTTAAAATATGTACGTTTGTCTGTCTTCATACTTTAATGTATTACATGCTGACCCAACATGAAATTTAGTCACGCTTGCTTGCAAATTTTCATCAGCACATCTTTGGGATTAGAGTTGCAAGTTTGTTTGATATAATATTTTCTCACGGCTCAACTACAAAATAGATCAAGGTTTAATATTTATTTATGTAGAAACTACCTGAACGTGTTGTATTTTGTTTAAAGTATTGATCTTTAATTTGATTTCTTTCACAAGCGGTAAATCCCAGCTGGACACTTCTTTAAGCGTACGTTTTTTATTTAATGCTGTTTGCTAAACGAAATTACGAACATGTATTTACTTAAAAAATTACTTTTCTATTTTGGATACCCACATCAATGTTCTCAACGGATTTGCTAAATTTTTTTCAATTTATTTAAATTGGGTCGTAAATATCTTAAAAACCACAAATCTCTCAAACTTTTGCTAGATAAAGCCGGACATAAATTTCTCCTTAAGAGCCTATTTTTTGCATCAGCGTTTATTGAAATACGAATATATCAGAGTCTATTTCATTATGATTTATTTCTGTCAACACTTTAATTCGGCCGTAATTGATTTTTTATTACTCAATAAACATTCAATTATTTTCCGGATTAGTTTCTCATGAATGAAACCCACCCAGGATGATATAAATAGTAGCCAATAACACGGAAATACCACTGTTTCTGTATTTTATTTCAGAGGGAATGAAAGTAAGTTTCATCGACTTATACAAACTGACATGTTCACCGACTACAAGAAGTCATTCAGAGACAAAAAAGAGTAAGTTTGCGATTCATTCATTCCATGTGTTCACTTAGCGAAGATCCGCAAGTGTTTAGATAAAAATTTTCTTTTATCATTGTAATTAATCTGTTGAAAGTCTGCCTGATTTTTTCACTCACCGAGATTACGAAAGATAAACTTTCAGCTAAAGAATTAAGTTGAGTGGCACTAATTTTTGGCTAAAATGTAGTGGAAACATAGGAAACATTACATACTAATATAGCTACGCTTAATTTCTTGGGATTTATAATACGAGTATTATTAGCTTTGAGATTGTAATATATTTTTTATTTAATTTTTTTTTACGCCTAGAATTTTGTGAAAAGCAACTCGTTTAATTTCTGTATCTTTAAAAAAAGTTAACAAATAGTAAATGGCACATCATAGATTAACCTATTTTTAAAATAAAAAGCTTTTTATCAAAAACTATTTGCATTTAATTTTCCGTAAGTATTTTTATATGCGACAATTTTACGAGCTTTATTATTTTTATCTTTTTATTGTTCTTGTGCAGGTGGAATATTGGCGTACTTTGTGCAACATTTAAA